ACGATAGAAAATTGTTTTACTCATGTCTTTATTAATTAGAATTAGTTAGATAATCACTGTAGTATAAATGTAAAATAAAAAGAGAGATAGAGATCTAATTTTAAGCACGACCTCTATATTCAAAGCTCTGGGTACTAAAACTTCGAATTTAAACAACTCGCCTTCTTTTTCCAATTCGATAAAATCTTTTTTGGGTATCGCACGCGCATCGGATTATAAAGGTGGACTGGTCGACAAAACAAAACATTACCACAGAGTATTAAATGGTAATATTGTAATATATTAGCGCCCTGTGATCTGCTTATCAGCGTAAATTATGTCCAGATTATGGCAATAAAAACTTATTAAATAAATATATTTGTTTACGTGCAGCGACTGGAACGGTAAGTGTATGCAATGGCACCGGTCGGTTTACATGGTGGAGATTTTTATTGAGAACATTTTCGCGACTGTAAAACATCTTATTCGTATTGATTGGGACATGTAATATTTAGCCAGGAATTATTAATTTCTGTTCATTACGATCATGTATTACTAGATAATAAAAATGTATATTTCCCACACTTACACTAAATACAATAAAATAAATAATTTACAAAACTGGTTGAGTTAACCTATGAGTAGCCAAACTTTGTTTACTAAAAAACAGATTTCAGTTACTCATAGACCAACTCTTCTGTTGCATTTTTCATTATCACTTTAGTTAATCGAGTTTAGTTCAAAACTACTAAATCATTTTGTTATGTTATAAGCTGTCCAATTCGATTTCGTAATCTGTAACATATTTTACAGATTACACTCGGTTTTATTAACATAGAGTTTGCCTTACTACAACTATTTTGTGCTATTTGTGTTTATTAGCAAACACAGAAACCGCTATGAATAACTGAAAAGTGATCTAACTGTAAGTCAAAAAGTTCGGTTACAGATTGCAAGAACGTGTTTTGTTAAATATTGTGTACATCCGCTGAATCGCGCTATAGAGATTGTTTTGTGCATATATATATTACAGAAGAATTATATATATAATTCTTCTGTGAGTGTGTATGTCACTGAACTTCTCTTAAACGACTGGACCGATTTTGATGAAATTTTTTGTGTGTGTTCAAGGGGATCTAAGAATGGTTTAGATTCACAATTTTGTCCGCTGGACAACCCCTATTTTTTTAGGGCGGTACGAAGTTCGCTGGGTCAGCTAGTATATATATATATATTTATAAGATAAGTTTATTTATTTTTATTTAAAAATATTTAAGAACCAGGTTATTACGATTACACAAAACGCCTGTTAAAAAAAATGCGAGTAAGATAATGATATACACAGCTTCTTGACCGCCTAAGGTTTTCAAATGCCTCGCGCTTTTTTTCTTTTGCATTGGAAATAACATTATTAGAGAAAATGAGCGTGAGCAGAGCTCCCTTTACCAGTGGGCAGTGAGATGGATCTGAGGGGGGCCTTAGATCAAATACATAGTCCCTAGTTCCTGTCAGATCACCAAACAATAACCAATATTTATTACCAAAAACTTATATAATTCGATGAAAAAGAACCTAAATTACTGACTACAATACCAACTTACTAGCTTTTACATAAGCGAAGTTATTCTACTCTCGCCCAAAAATTAGGATTTCCGACTTCAGCATACTTAGATAAATTTAAATATACATATAATGGTATATTAAGCACATACACATTTTAAAGAAAAATCATCAGTATGACTCACTCCATTTCAAGTCATAAGCCACATAAAAGCCATAGCCATTATCCTGATATGCCCAGGGCCTCCAATAGGTTAAAGACGGCCCTGAGCGTGAGGTATTTGAAAAACTTCGGCGATCAGAAGAACAAAATGAAATCGTAAGCGACAGTGATAGTCATAGCAATCCCGTTAGGCGATTGATACCTAGATCTCCACGGGGTAGGGGCATTCCCATTGGTCAGGGTAGGCAATACGGTGTGAGTAATATTTTTGGTATCGCAAGTGTCTATATTATGGCCGTTTACTAGCAGGCGGGCCATACATTTGCCACCCCTTTTACATAAAAAGTAAGGCTCCAGAATCATCTTTGCATCCACCAGTCGTTATTGACAAGAATCTATTTAAGGGATTGGTTCGTGTGCATTATCTCAATAACATTAAACAGCATTTCCATATTTGACTGGCATAATCGTATACTTATATATATTATTTACCAGCTGTCCCAGCGAACTTCGTACCGCCATAAAAAAATAGGGGTTGTTGGTAGAAGGGTGAAAATTTAGGGTGTATGTATTTTTGTATGATGTTTCATAAAAACAAAAAAATTGTCAACATTTTTTTTAATGGTGGACCACACTTAATCTTTAGGGGAATGAAAAATAGGTGATGTCCGATTGTCAGACCTACTGAATATGCATATAAATTTTCACGAAAATCGGTAGAGCCGTTTCGGAGTAGTTCAATTACGCATACCGTGACACGAGAATTTTATATATTAGATAAACGTTATTTACGGGATTGTTACCATGTACTTTGTTTTACCGAGTTTCCGATATTTCGGCACTGTTGCAAGCGCCATGATCACGGAGTAAGTGCAAAGTACATTTTAATAATCCCGTAAATAACACAATTTTTTATAATGTTAGTCATCATGAAAATTTAAAACAATATATTTATGTACGTATTGTATGTATGTGTGTATATGTATGTGTATATATACATATGTGTATATTTTGTGTGTAGTCAAATAAGAGTATATACCTTTGTCTTTATTGCGCCCCCGTCATATTAGTATTTTTCTCACGATCTTACTGGTCGACAGGTAGAGAATGCCCTATGGCATTATGACCGCCTATTGCTGTTATTTTTGCAATAAAGTATAAATATTTTATATTATATCATTTCTTTGTCGCACTATCCGTAAATGGAAAGCTCTGCCCGCTCATGTGTTTCCTTCCTCTTTCAATCTGGGATCCTTTAAAAGAGGCGTGAAGAAGCAACATGCAGGCCGGCAGGGTGAGGATGGCTGGTGTGGCAGGTAGAACTGCTGTACCAGCTATCTTCGCGTCTGGACATCACCGTCACTTCAGGTGGGATGGAGTCATTTGTCGGACCTGTCTCACCTGTCGCACTCTGGACTCGTTCCGTGATCAAGTTAAGCGTCATTTCCTATCCTTACTTTGAAAATACCTCTTTCCTTTCTTTATTTATTTATTTCCTTTTTATAATTTTTAATATAAATATGCATCTTATTATTATTACCTTTTTTATTTTATTTTAAGATATTGCTTTTACACCCTTCCCCCTTTTTTGTGCTTATATATTTAATTAATTTTCTGTCATAGGTTGCCTGGAAGAGATTGCTATTAAGCTATAAGGCCGCCCATTGTGAGATGTCTCTCTGTCAGTGTAATCTTACTGTTATGTCCTATGTGGTGTTATACAATAAAGAATATTATTATTATTATCTATAAAAAATATGTATATAAAAAAAAACTCTGATAATTTTTGTTTTAGATACCATGTCAACGTTAAATGGAGATTAAAAACTGGAGAACACACTTACTCCTCGCTCACTTCTTGAGCTCCCACTAACGGCTTATTATCACAATAACGTTATTTATTATTATCACAACCGCGTTGGCTTCTTAATATTTTTATTTTGTATTTGTATAGACCGTGGCGAATAATTGGTTCAAGTCTCTTTTTGACTTATCAGTCTTACTGGCAGCAGTAACGAGGCGGGACTTTATCGGTCAACTTCATTAAATAAACTGGATTTGGTACTGAATAAATGATTGTTATTATTTGAACTCGTCAATGTTGTGATGAGTTGGGACTTTGTTGGTCAACTTCATTAAATAAACTGGATTTGGTACTGAATAAATGATTGTTATTATTTGAACACGTCAATGTTGAGATGAGTTGGGACTTTGTTGGTCAACTTCATTAAATAAACTGGATTTGGTACTTAAAAAATGATGAATATTTTGATGAATATTTTTTTCGTAGATAGCATTATAAACAATATAATTATTATGTTATTACGTTAAGGAAAACCTTTCGTAACCTTTTAAGTATAGCAACCATAGTCATTGGTGCTGGCATTTTCACACGGAGCAAGTGTTAGATTTCCGCATAATTTAATCTTTTATTATTCTGCTAGAAAATTAGTAATGATAAAAAATAAATTATGATAAAAAAAAAGGAAATTCTAAACCACTGAGCAAGTACCTAGCCTCCTCCGTTTTATTCAAAACATTTAAACGAGACCAAGTATTTTTATATTACAACATTCCGGTATTTTTCGCTCAAATGATCTCAATGTATCCTTCTTTAGCTATTTTATTAAAATATGTGACGATCTAAACATTCTCTCTATCATTCTGTACCCCTAGCACGAACCATTAACGAATTCGAATAGTTTGCAAACCGAAATGTCAATGGCAAATTTTGTATAGAAACTTGAACAGCAGTGGCACAAAGTACGTAACGAGAACTAAAAATCAGTACACATTTGACAGTGACATTTTGGACTCGCAAACGTTACGAATTCGATATTGGTTCGTGCTAGGGGTACTGTACCCTCAGCACGAACCAATATCGAATTCGTAACGTTTGCGAGTGCTAAATGTCAATGTCTATCTAAAAATCAGTACACATTTGACAATGACATTTCGTACTCGCAAACGATACGATTTCGATATTGGTTCGTGCTAAGGGTACTTACTGTACTCTTAACACGAACGATTATTATCGAATCCGAATAGTTTGCGAGAGTGAAAAGATACCGTCAAATTCTGTATGGAAACCTGAACAGCAATGCCAAAACGGGCGTAAAGAGAACTAAAAATCAGTACACATTGGACGTATAACTAGATCGAATTCTAATTCAATTGTGGTTCGTGCTAAGGGTAACTGACATGTCTTTACAGCCAGCACCAATGACTATGGTAGTAACGTGTTAAGTGCCAAATTGGTAAAGAGTAGATATGCATCCTGTTCATTAATTCGGTACAGGTAGTGGGTTCGACGCCGAGCCGTAAGCCGCTGATAAACGAGTAGCCATTGTCGGCTACCGGTCTTAACGTAGAACATTGCCAGTTAAATAGCGGTGGTTCCGTAGATATGATTAGATATGATAAAACACTTTTTAAACAGGTTTGATACAGGAAAGAGCGACATGACCAACGCGGCCAGGACGGTAGTAAGCCATACACAGCTTTCCCCTCTGTCGATTTAGGCATACAAATTGGGCATAAAAACGATACATATGTGCAGGATTTGGCGATTTATTGTGTCATTGTTAATGTGTGACTGTCGTAATAGCAGTGTTGTTTTGTATGCGTGTACGTTAAACTGCGTTTGTGTGTATATTTCCCCCGCAAAAAATGACTGAATAATTTTATTTGCCAACATTCAAAGCCAAATGAAGTCAAAGTTATCCTATCCTACTAATATTAGAAACCCTACTAATGCGGGTGCGGGTTCGAGCCCTGTCTGCTGCATGGCTCGTGTGGATATTTTTCTAGTAAAAATTTCTTTAGATTTAATCATCTAGCAGTTACATGCTTAAAAATACAAATATAATCCTAATTATATTATAAATGTGAAAGTTTGTATGTTTGTTACTCAAACACACCAAAAACTACCGAACGGATTTCGATGAAATTTAGTACGTAATTATATAGTTTATGACCTGGATTGAGACAGGATACTTTTTATCCTGGAAAAATGTTGGCGTCCTGTAGGATTCTCAAATGACTAAAGTTAACGTGGATGAAGTCGCGGGCAGCTGCTAGTAAATACTATCATCATCATCAGCCTATTAATGTCTCTACTGCTGGAGCACAGGCCTTCGCTATGGATGGAATAGGGAGATTGGGCCATGATCCATCACGCGGGCCCAGTGCGGATTGGCGGGTGCTAACGACTGCAGATGCGGCCGAGACCAACGGCTTAACGTGCCTTTCGAAGAACGGAGGAACTCGAGGTAGAAGATTTTTGGTCACCCATCCAATGACCGACCACTGCGAAAGTTGCTTAACTTCAACGATCGCAGCCGAAAGCGCTTACCACCTGCGCCATCGAGCTCCTCTATAAAGTAAACTATAATAACCTGCATTTGTTTTTGAAACATTAGTAAAAACCTAATAACCTTTCTGGAAACGGGAAAATCACTATCATATTGACGACCTTCGTGGCCGAGTGGTTTGTACGCCGGGTTTCATAGTGTCGCCGACTCGAGAGGTCCTGGATTCGAATTCCGGTGGAGGCAGATGTTTGTGTGATGAATACTCCAGTCATGGATGTTTAATATGTACTTCTATATAAATCTATTTATATACGTACAGTATATGTATTCTATCCGTTACCCTAGTATCCCATAACACAAGCCTTACAGTGCTTACTTTGGGGCTAGGCTAATTGGTGTGCGTTTAAAAATATATATATATAACGCTGAACGAACTAAGTAAGTACATTATTCCACTAACATATTACATTATCATAGTTTGCAATTTTTACTAGCGTTTCTCAGCCGTGCTCGGCGAACCCTAAAAATATGAAAAATAAAAGAGTTCCGGGCCTTTTGTCCGGGCGGTGTATTAAATGTTAAAAGTTGCCCGAGAGTTTATTGACACACCCGGAGGTGGTTTTTTTGTGAAGCTCATAAAGGTAGACGGACGTATTCCCGCTTTGCGCACGTAACGAATCGAGCGACGCTTTGCTTATTATTAAATGAACAGAATCAAATAAATGTACCGTGATTTGACTATGAACACATAATCGGAGAGAAGCTCGATGACGCGGCGCATTCGGCTGCGATCGTTGAAGTTAAGCAACTTTCGCAATGGTCGGTCATTGGATGGGTGACCGAAAATCTTCTATCTCGAGTTCCTTCGTGCTTAGGAAGGCACATTAAGCCGTTGACATTGTTGACCCACCAATCCGCACATGGCCCGCGTGGTGGGTCATGGTCCAATCTCCCTACTCCATCCATAGGGAAGGCCTGTGCCCCAGCAGTGGGGACATTAAGCAAGTTGAGTTTATATGAAGGTCCGTACCATTAGTACGAACAAATATCAAATTCGAATAGTTTGCGAGTACGAAATGTTTAGTGTCAAATGTGTACTGATTTTTAGATCTCGTTACATCCGTAGTGGCGCTGCTGTTTAAGTTTCTAACAAAATTTGACAATGACATTTCGCACTCGTAAACTATTCTTATTCGATATGAGAGATAGAGAGGAGCTCGATGGCGCAAGTGGTTAGCGCGTTCCGCAGCGATCGTTGAATTTAAGCAACTTTCGCAGTGGTCGGTCATTGGATGGGTGACCATAATTTACTATCTCGAGCTCCTCCGTGCTTCGGAAGGCACATTAAGCCGTTGGTCCCGGCTGCATCTGCAGTCGTTAGCACCCACCAACCCGCACTGGGCCCGCGTGGTGGGTCATGGCCCAATCTCCCTATTCCATCCATAGGGAAGCCTGTGCCCCAGCAGTGGGGACATTAATAGGCTGATGATGATGATGAAGGGTACCGTTATGTTAGGTAATTTAATAATTATTTTTTGCACTGCTTCTTCTTCTTATTATTATGACGGCTTGCGTTGTGACTTATCACAGCTCCGCCAATGTCAAGTGATTAGCCATCAAACGTAAGGGATGATAAAAATTTAAAAGAAGTTAAAAATCAGAATTTTGGTTATTTCATAAGCACTTTTACCTGTAAAGAAAAACGTCACATTCAGGACAACACAAACATAAAACAAGTAAAGCGAGATGCTTTGTTACAATCTTAGTTTGTTATGGGAAATAAATTTGGACAAGAGGTTGAGTAGTCACATAAACACATTAGAACTTTCATGCTTATAGGACGAGGAATAGTGGGAGGTAAAATGTCATAGAGAGAGATGTTTGATTTGGAGCAGTTAAAGAAAAGATGATCATAATCATAATCAAAATCATTTATTCAGTTTAGGCTGTTACAAGCACTCATGAATGTCTAGAAGCTACGCCATCGGTTCGTAAATCTACGGCGGGAGACCTTGTACTGAGAAGAACCGTCAAGAAACTCAGCAAAGGCTGTTTTTTTCTCTCTGTTTTATTATTTACAGAGTCGTCAAATTGAAAAAAAATGACTTCAGAGGTGATTCATGAAGTCACTTTTCATTACATAATTATTAAATATACATTAATTGTTTACCTGCATTTTGATTGCTGTGTCATACAGTATAAATACAAATAGTGTTATTTATATTCAGTGTGACTACACATTAACTTCAATATTAAGGAAGTTAGGGCAGACTCATCTCCGCTGGCAGCACCCGTTCACGAGCATGACGCATCCACTGTACCATCCTCGGTTCCACAATCACATGTGGGGCTGTCACGTATTTTAACCTAGCCAAGTGAACAGGGGTAATGGAATGACCTATCCTTAATCTACAAATTGTAGAGACCACTTTTTTATTAAGATTTTTTGCACTGCTTGCCCCTGTAAAAGTAAACTTTAACACTTGACATCTGTCATTGTTTCCGTGTTGTGATAGGACGCGACATGAACTGTCAAGTGAAGGCGACTAGGGTAGCGTTTTTGTCTGTTTTTGTTAAACTTCCGCTAATTTGCCCACTAATTGGTTGTTGCGTGAGATCTAAGTGTTAATTTTTTCACACATTCGCAATGGTGAAATTTATATAAATTTATTACTTAATAACCGCGCGAAAAGGATTTCTGTATCGTGTTATTTTCAAAAGTAAAACCCATTTTTTGATTGTGTGTTTAATGTTGTGCATTTATTGTATTGTGACTGTATGAAGCATTTTTTTTTCAATCTCTCATACATTTGATTTTGATATAAGTGTCTTTAATGGTCTTATTCAGATAGAGTCAGTGCGGAAAGAGAATGAGATTAAGATTGGAGGGCGCTGTAGTGCTTTTCTACCGTATTTGTAAGGTTTTAAACCCTTTTAGACATGATTAAATACAAAAAACCGCAAGAAGTCACAACAACAAACAAATCCGTATCAATACAAAACTTTGACGTTTTACAGATTGCTGGGTTTGATTGCCAAATTAAAATCTTAATGTAAGTTCCGTTTTTCGCCACGCCCATTCTCTTTCCACACAGACTCTACGGTTGTTATTTTTTTAGGTTAGTTTGAACTCTAACCCCCTTTTATTAATAAACCAAGACTACGCTTGGATTAGTTACTCCATGTATTGTCTCTGTCTCTTGAATGACAAATGACATTTGAGTGATAAGAACAAAACACGGCGTAACTAGTCTAAGCTTTATTTCTTGTTTATTAACAAGGGAGTACCGGTTCAATATTAAAAACTCACCTTATTACCATAGAAAGTTAGACATGCGTTCAACACGAGAGAGAGAAAAAAAAACATACAAAGGATTATCGCATTTATGTGTAGGAAAATACGCCGATTACATCAAAAATATAAATGGAGTTTATTATCCACTTCTTCCACATAAAAATGTCAGTCAAACATTTAAATTAATGGCAACACAGATATTATATTATGCTAAATGTGCATCTCTAATATAATAACAATGTAGCTACGGAAATCACGTAATTTTTGATACAACCAGATACAATTAAAGAAAATTAATTGAATACAAGAGTATTATTAGCTGTCATCTGTCACTCAATGACAAATTGCGCCTAAGTAATAACGTTTCCTTATACGCAGATATTCTATTTAAATTAATATTTTCATCAATTTTTATCGAATTTATTTTAGATTTTAATGGGTAAGTCTTTACAAGTAGGTATAATTTTAGAAGTTTTTTTTTGAATAATATGTATTAAGGTACAGAATTGGGTAAAAGTCAAAGGTCTCCCTTGCCTAAACAAGGTTTGAGACTGTGTCTAACCTTTTTTTAGTAACACCGTCAATGTTTGAGGGCTACTCAACTTCAAGTAGGATTACCAACACCCACTACAAAGTTTATTATATGTAGTCTTCAGACATCGAGTATTTGGCTGGTTAGTGTCTTCACATTCAATTTTCGTACGATTATGTAGACTACACAAAACATGCTGTGAT